GAAAAAGGCCACTTTTGTCAGACAAAGAAGGCCTTAACGACCAGCAGAATGGTCATCAATCAGATGCCGATCAACTGCTGAACCAGCAGGCGAATAAACGGCAAAAAGTCGTTAACAACGACGGCGAAATGGGCGCCACACCAGTAGTCGTTAACAACGACAACAATAGCAATGGCGGGGACGTCACAGGGTCACCCAATCAACGCGATGACCCTTTGCTTGAAGAAATCGCACAAGCTATGAATGAGGCGGAAAAATCCGTCCCAAAAATTGCTGAACAATTAGCAAAAATCATCAACTCTCGCTGGCTAAACAAGCTGAGCGATGAAAGCCTTCGTGAGAAACTTGATACCCATTTGCGTCCGGTTAACTGTGACCGACTCATTACTCCGAAGGTCAACCCAGAAATCTGGGGGCGTCTCGACAAAGAAACAAGAAGCAAAGATCTAAAGCTGTCATACTTGCAAACTAACCTAGCAGCGGTTGGTAATATTGTCTCGCAAGCAACAGATATGTTGTTGACAGCTCGTGCGGAAAACAGCGAAGTCCACATCGAAAACCTTATTCGCAAGAATATGGACGCCATTGCTATTATGGGCCACATTAGTTATGATTTGGCTCAACGAAGACGTGATGTTATTCGTCCAACACTCAATAAGGAGTATGCTACACTGTGTGCTTCCGATGTGCCTGTTACCACTTTGCTTTTCGGGGACGAATTGCAAACACAACTGAACCACATACGGGCATCGAATAAAATAAAAAATACGGCAAGTGGTTCCCAATATTATCCACCAAGGCGCCATTTCTCGCCTCAACAGGTACCAGCCAGATCTGGTCAACAAAAGCCTTTTTTATGGAAACAGCCGCCTCAGGGCGGCAAACCCCAATACAGGAGAAAGTACAAACAATATCGGTCCAATCAACCGGGGAATCAGGAAAATCAATGAGCAACATTTTGACAGAATTGCAGGTTATTAGCAGGTAAGCACATACAATACACTCCTACCTTCCTTGCTAGTTTATCTTGAAAATAAAGTAAAAATGTTTAAAGCGGGAAATTTAGCTGCCTATGTTAAAGAATGGCAAGCTTTAACGTCGGATCCAGAAATAATGGAGATACTGACTGGTCAGAGAATTTAATTCTCTGAAATTCCTGTACAGTCGAAAACTTTGATGAATGTAAAATTCACAGAGTAGACCATGAAATTGGAAAATTCCTTAACAAGGGTGTTATTGTGTCATGCACACGTGAAGAGGGAGATTTTGTCTCTCCAATTTTTACCTGTCCAAAAAAGGATGGCACTCTTCGAATGATCTTGAATTTAAAATCACTTAACAAGTTTATTACCTATTACCATTTTAAAATGGAGACTGTCTGGTCTGCAATAATGTCAATGACACCTGGATGCTATACGGCTTCCATAGATGCCAATCCATGCACCCAGAGAAGTCTACTTATTCCTACACAACGAATTGTGTTTTTAGGCTTTGTCCTTGACTCCTTAAAGATGTGTGTGTCATTGACGCCTGAAAGGGCTCAAAAAATTAATTGAGGCTTGCCACAAATTGCTTCAAAATGCTTGTCCCACCATCCGAGAGGTAGCCCAGGTGCTTGGAATTATGACTTCTAGCTTCCCAGGGGTAATGTTTGGCCCACTCCACTATAGATCTCTGGACATAGACATAACAAATGCCCTTAAACAAAGTAAAGGGAATTTGAGGGGGAAATGTCTATATGACAGGAATCTATAACAGATGTAAAATGGTGGATAACATCCCTACCAGAGGCCTATAACCCAATAAACCATGGGGAGGTTGAAGTCACTATATCTACCGATGCATCTTTGACTGGATGGGGGGCCTGTATAGACACCACAACAACAGGTGGGAACTGGACACCTGATGAAAGGGCAAAGGACTTAATTACTTAGAAATCGTAGCAGGTTTCTTGGCATTGCAATCTTTTTCCTCTGCAGTTGCCGGAAAACATGTAAAACTGCTAGTTGATAACACCATGGATAATAAAGTAAATGGATAGGAAACTAGCTGACGTGACCTAATGTTTTTACTGGGATTGATGGCGTGGTTGGATGCCTCAACCTAGTTGAAAATCAAATTCTTAAAAACGGCATGTTTAGCAATAATACAGCTAAACATTTTAGTCAAAGAGCAAGATCCAGTTTGTGCAACTGTAGGAAATGGAATCGAATTCCTCTTCACTGAATACCAGAGGAGGTTATCGTACAGTGTTTTAAACACTATTCGGAGTGCACTTTCTACAGTTATATTTCCCACAGACCAATCATTTGGCAGTCATCCCTTAGTAACCCGATTTTTGAAAGGTGTTTTTCGAATCTCGGCCCTCTCTTCCTCCATATCAAGCTACATGGAACGTTTCTGACGTATTGAACTACTTAAGAACAATGGGACCTGTTGAGGAGTTAAAGCTAAAAGACTTAACATTTAAAACTGTTATGTTGGTAGTTTTGTTATCCGGTCAGTGATGTCAAACAGTACATGCATTCACATTGAGTGGTATGAAACAATTGGATAACCAAATTACATTTGAAATTAATACTCTGCTAAAGACTTCCAAGCCTGGAAAGCATCTTAAACCACTAGTATTTAAAGCATACCCAGTTGACAAGCTTCTGTGCGTGGTGACATGCCTCAAGCAATATTTGCTGAAAACAAGTGTGGTGAGAGATGGAAATAATGAGTTATGGCTTAGTTTTAACAAACCACATAAGCCAGTAAGCAAAGATACTATTGCAAGGTGGATCAAAACTGTAATGGGAAAAGCTGGTATTGATACAAGTTGTTATGGTGCACACAGCACTCGTTCTGCATCCATATCTGCAGCATCCTCTACAAAACTGCCAATTAATATTATTATTAAAGCAGCTGGATGGTCCAGTGAAACCACATTCGAAAGGTTTTATAATAAACCAATAGAACATTCCGCTAATTTGGGTGAACATTTGTTGTTATCTTATCAAGATGTAAACAAATAAATTGTGTTGTGTTTTGACACATTGTCAAGCTGTTCATGGACACATTGCTTTAAAGTCTCACGTGACTTCTTTGTGAACTGACCAATGATGAAGTAGAATTAAAAAATTAAACGAGGCTTACCTGTAAGGTGAAGTTTGATTTGAATTCTACGAGTCATTGGTCAGGAACAAAGAAGTCACATTCCCACCCTTTAGGGAATGTGGAGGCTATACATGCATATCCCACCCTAAAAATTATAATTATGTGTTCATTCACAGCTGGTTTTAAAAACTGAATGCTCCGATCTCCCGCGCTCTATCACGTGACTTCTTTGTTCCTGACCAATGACTCGTAGAATTCAAATCAAACTTCACCTTACAGGTAAGCCTCGTTTAATTTTTTAATTTTGTACTAAAAAGATATGTGAAATGAAGAATATGGCTACAATTTCTTCAGAAAATTTACGAAATTCGCTACGAAATGACCGCCATTTTGGTTTTTGAAAGTAGTGTTTCCACTTTTCAAAACTAAAATTTCCTTAAATGTTCAAAAAGGAAATTTGCGAATCGATGTTTCCAGTCTAATTCGAACCCTGCTAGCATCATTTCGGTTTCGGAAAACGTATGGGCGCCCAAGTTCCAGGCACCCAAATTCATAGGAAGAAATAGTAATATGTAAAAAAAACCCCACAAAAATACATTTTGAAAAAATGCCAATGACCACAACAATTGACATAAAGATCGACTTTATAAACCGAGTTTACTAGACATTCTGAGGTCATAATACACTTCTACAGACACACCACCACTTGTACATGGCATGCAATGTACATTGTAAGATTGGTGGATATAATATCGTTTTTCTAGTCAAAGAAACAAATTCCGAAGATTGAAATTCAAGATTGGAATTAAATAAAACCTGGTTTACCAGAAAACAACAGTCTGACATACTTGGTAAAATTCGAATGATCTGTTTCATCTCTTCCTCAAAACCAATCTGCAGTATTCGATCAGCTTCATCAATGACCAAACACTGTAAGTTCTTAAAATTAAAGCCATGCGTGTTCTACACAAATACAATAATAATATACAGCATGAGCGGCCATGTTGTGTTAGATATATAAATTCGAACCGAAGGCGTGAGGTCTGATACAACATAGCCTGGGGTCTCCTTCGCCTCTGCCTTCTTCACCTCGCCCGCGTTTAGGTGTTCCGAGGCGGGCTGACCGTCTGCTATGCAGGCTAGATACAACACATTTCACCTCAGCTAACTCTATTGGACGATCACTTCATTATACGAGAATACAATCACCGTGGCAGTGCACAACTTAACATTAGTTTCTTGAACGATTATATCTTGATTGACTGTGACCCTACTGACCCTTTCTTTACATAACATGCTTTAAAGGGACGAAAAATTGAGGGAATAACATGAGTCAAAGATCCCAAGGATAGTGCAAAGTTAATATGACAACTGAGCAGAAAGCACTAATTGGTGTGCACACTAAGAGGTCCATATACCAATACCCCAATCTCATTCCCAGGCTCTTCCTCTTGTGGAGGAAAGACCCTGGTCGGAGCTGATCACGTGGGTCACGGAAAATTAATTGCCTAAGGGTGTGTGGGAAAAGTATCATATTACATGCTCCCACTTCCGCACTTTACACTTCGATCGCAAGGAGTGAGTGTTCTGCACCGATCAACTTTGAGAATCACATATACGTCAAAATATTTGCTAAATTTGATTTCTGTTTGCTCTTAAATTATAAAAATATACTAAACAGATTTTTATAGCAACAAGTCAGGAAATCAAGCAATAAAAATGCATGATCATATGCCCTATATTGTTCTTATGATCTCTCGACTCGGAGCTTGCCGCTTGGCCTTGGGTGCACTTATAAAAGGCACTTTCATTTAACACGTTTCTGTTCTGCCTTTCTCTTTGGTTCACACATTTGTAATCTTATAATATGTCACTAAATTGTTCTTATCTGGAAACGATACATTCATGATTTACTTGTTAATTTCAACATCGTAGGGTCGTAGCGCCTATAGCCATTGCCCATTTACCACGTGAATAATAACGATAAGGTTTAACAAACTATTTTTCTATATACGTTCATGGAAATGGTATAAAGTGTCTTTGTCCGGGAGTGTACATAATTCATTATCTCTTTATATAAACACAAAGTCTCGCACAGACATATATAGCAGTACTTTTATACTTTATGAAATTTCATAAGCATTTTAAAGTTTCTTGATATATTGATAGATTGTTTGTCTCTAATGCGGCATAGTTGGATGCTAAACAGTGGCGTGCTGGGTACTATTTTTCTGGGGGGGGGGGGGCTATCAGCAATAGCCCTATAATGTAACGCTTGATAAACGAGGGCCGAAGGCACGAGCCGAGCGCCGCAGGTGCGAGGTTTGTCTAGGGGGGGGGGGGCAGGGGCATGCCTCCCCCCGAAAAAATTTGAATTTAGAGTCTCTGAAATGCCATTTCCTGGACTTTGGGGGAAGATTTGACAGAAATCTGATGGTCAGAAAACGGCATCATAACGTATCGAAATTTGCGATTTGGTTAGAATTTAGTAATAGCACTTGGCTAGTAATAGGCAATGCTAACTAATTCCAGCGATTAATCTAATGCCAATTCTATTCTCTACTGATCTGAATACATTTACAACTTACAGCTCTTTTATTCAACAACACACGGACCCCACGCATATTCATTTTAAGGTTTCCTTGCTTGGCTGCCAAAAGGGCGCGTTTCAGCATTATCTTATGTTATTACTTACATTACTCATGAGTCATGATGTTTCTTGCGCAAAGAACTAAATTGCAGCGTGCACAACTTTACATTATCATAACTATCTAATTTGCGCCACTCTCGTGATTCGTGAAGCATAATAAAGGGCATAATATACTAGGGCATAATACCAGCAAAAAAAGGCATAATTCCCGTGATCGCTTCGAAAGCTGACCAATATCCCGGTGATGAGACATTGCGTGTGATCACTGCATGATCATGTTTCTATATGAACGATTTTGTGTGAGCCGTGAGATAGCAACAATAGTCTGTAATTTAATGTATCACTTTGTCTTTGTCGCCTATATATGAACTTAGTCTGTTTATAGGCCTATAAACACATCTTTTCTTGGTGGAAGTAACTATATTTTTTTCATATGCTTTTTTTCCCACCCACTTTCAAAATTTGGCACGAGATCGGCGCCCCCTTTTCATTTGTGCGCCCCCCAAGAATTGCCAGCTGGGGGTGGGGACGTGGCCCCCCGGCCCCCCTGCCAGTACGCCACTGGATAGAATTATTAAAGAATATCTTTTCACCTGCAAATGATCCAAAAGCCGTCCTGGTGTTGCAACCAACAAGTTGACTCCTTTGTGAAGCTTCTCTGCTTCATTTTTCCTGTTTGCCCCTCCCATGATAATACCATATGTCTGATTATGATATTTTATCAAGTCTGTGACCACGCCAAATGTCTGTAGGGAGAGTTCTCGGGTTGGAGATATTATAATCACTCCTGTGCCTGAAAAACAATATTAATCCATTACATATAGTTGAAAGTTTCTAACCCAGCGTTATCTGGCGCTACAGAGTAAAATAATCTGTGTTAGATAGAGTAAAATAATAAAGTAATAGGGTGCAATGTAACTTAATGGGTTAACTAGACACATTGGCAGTGAGTCTGATTAATCCACTGAGCGTCAGCGCTCTCCTCCCTTGACGAGCAAACTCGTCTAATGTTAGACAGAATAAATAAAATCGGATGTATTGGAGCGCAATGCAACTGAATGGGTTAATTAATTAAATTTAGGTGTCCGATTTTCTCGAGGTCTGTATATATACTGTTAACTTTTAAAGTTTTATTGAAAGAAAACGCTTTAAAATTACTTATATTTACAAATACGCTTTTCACAAAACATGCAACGAACAACGAACGTTTTTCAATAATGTTCTTACGTGTTAAGGTTCACCTGTCATTCTATATCAATGAATGTCAACAATGTTCCTAATTTATCATTATATGTTCATATGTATACTAGTATATCCTAACACCCCACTCAGACTCAGCTTTACACTGTCTCTGATGAGTCTGGTTTACTTGGATAAGTTCCCTAATAAAACACGACGATGTTTCTCTACTTTAACACGTGCTAAAGACTTTGTTACAATGTCTGCTGTCATCTCTTCAGTTGGGATCTAGTGGATTCCTACTTTTTCGTTTTTAACTCTTTCTCGGATGAAATGTAATTTGGTATCGATGTGTTTCGATCGTTTGTGCATTACTGGATTATGATACATCTTGATACACGTAATCCAATATCGGTTGGTTCTTTCATAGGATAACCAAAATCTTTCATTAGTGCTCTAAGGTAGATTGCTTTTTGCACTGCTGCCGCCATAGCTTGATATTCTGCTTCTGTAGACGATAACGCAACTGTCGCCTGTTTCTTTACCTCCCAGCTTATAGCTCCACCATCGCCTTCAAATTTGAAATAGTAGCCAGTTGTTGATCTTCGATCGTTCAGGTCACCACTCCAGTCTGCATCTGAATCACCCAAAGTTTAACGTTGGAATTCTTAAGAAAGGTTAATCGTAGATTAATTGTACCTTTAAGATATCTTAAGACGTGTTTTGCTGCTTTCCAATGCGACATATCGGGATTTTCAAGAAATCTTGACAATTGGTTGACAATATGAAGAATGTCGGAACGTGTTTGTTTCCCAATGTATAGAAGAGATCCAACTAGACTTCAATATAGCTTCGAATTAACTAATTCGTACTCTCCGCTGGCTTCAACTAACTTGAGATTGACTTCTCCAGGAGTTGCCATAGACTTGCGATCACTCATGTCGAACTGTTCAAGAACGCTCTCAATGTATCTATCTTGATCTATTGTGATCATAGTTTAAAGATAAAGAGCAGAGCCCAGCAAATAACTTTAAAACCAAACATAATAAAGGTAAAAAATATATTAGCTAACGTTTCGTTGTTTACAATACAACATCTTCAGAGCAATCTAAATGAATTTGCAAGGTATGGTATATATGTTTACAAAATAATGGTTTAATATTTCAAACTAGGGATCCAAGGATAGTGTGAAGTTTCAAATTTAAAAAGGCACTGCAAGAACTATATAGGGTCGCCGACAACCTAGAAAAGCTTGATGGCTTACACTACGAAATAAACTGTTACCAAAGGCATTTCATCTCATTATTTATTGCTTTTAATACGCTCGGCATACGAGTAGCGTGACGTTTGAAACAAACACATCAGAACGTGCCTTGTGAAACTGATGCAATTCATCTATTTATTGTGTCACCAACAACCAAATTTTGCATATTCTAAATTTTCATTTGCATTTGCAGCTGTCGCTGAAAGCATCCCCACGAGGCTACTGCTATGCTAAATTTATCTAATAAACTATAATTGAAATAGATGTATAAGATATGTTATGAATAATAAGCACTACGTTGTTACATCATTAAAAGACGCATTTTATCCTCATCCGTTCCGTTTGTTATCCGCATATCCGTTCCGTGGATCCGCTCCATCCGCCTCCGCATTTTAACTTAATTGTGACATGTTTCACAATAACAAGTTTCATTGACCTTTGACTTTTCACAGTGTGACGTGTGTCTATTTTCAGCTTTTCGCATGTGTTGAATATAAATATCACTTTAGATTTCAATAGTTTCACAGTTATAGCAGTGTTTTTAAAACATTTTTGACAAGCTTTGATACAGTTCTGTGTATAGAATACTACAGATTGATTCTCGTAAGATCTGGTAGAGTTATCGTTGCACTGAATACGAGTTTGCACCGTTGACAACGGCGTTGTGCTAGACACTAGACAGTAAACAAAGACAAGGTCCGTGAATGTACACGTTGGCTACATGTACCTCCTTGCTTTTTTCTTCTATTGCATAAAGCTTGTTGGCGAGCCAATTAAGCGATTAGCGATAACACGTTGGCGATAACACCTAAACACGTTGGCTATCTCCTCGTCTTTCTTATTTATACAACAAGCTCTGACTCAACTGATTCCTTTAGTCTCGTAAGTTTTTTTCTTCGTAAACGCCGTACAAACGTTTACCCGCTTCTGTTTAATAGTTGTTTATGCTTTATTGATCTGATACAAATCTGATGCAATTTTTCGCTCTTTGTACTGCATGAGTATAGCCATCTATTCTGTGATGTAGCACCTTATACAGTCCATGAGAATGTATAATGAATACACGGTCTAAATAATATCGACGGTAATGCATAACATCAATTTATATATTGTATTACTATTATTGCGTAGAATCTCAAAGATTTACTCAATATTCATGTCTGAAATCTTTATATACTTGAAAACAACACTGTCTCGCTTCTGCCTACGTACTGTACCCCTGTATAATGAGAATACCGTGAAAATAATATCGGCACTTAAATGAATGCCTAGAATCAAGATATTCGACTCAATATTTACGTCTGAAATGTTTACACACTTGACTGCACTGTCTAGGCGGTCTAGCTCCTTCCTAGCTCTGTATAATGAATAGACCGTCTAAATATTATCGGCACTTAATTGAACGCCCGTAATGCATAAGATCAATTTATATATTGCGTAGATTTTCAAAGATTTACTCAATATTCACGTCTGAAATCATTATACATCTGAAAACAACACTGTCACCCCTTCCTAGCATATCGTCACGCCATCGTGATCTACGGCTTGATAGCGCATGCGCATTTGCGCTACTAAAGAAAAATCGGGTGTTCCGGGGTAAAGATCCTTTACACAACATGAGAAGCGAATGTTCTAAAATTTACAAAAAAATACAATAACGAAAGCGATTCCTCGAAATTTTTGTGAACTTGGCAAAAGGATAACAGAATATGTAAATAAGTTAACTGAAATTGCCTAAATAACCTTCAAAGTACTGACTAAGTACAATAAATCACTACGAACATAAATCGTATACACCCCCCGGAAAGTTTACTCTATGACTGACTGACTGACTGACTGTTTGACTGACTGACTGATTCGTGTGAATTCGCCAGCCATCACAATAGTGTGAAGTGAAACTTCACACTAAAAAA